GACACCGTTGAGGACACTCTTGAGATGATTGACGACTACATGAGTGACACTCAACTCAACACAGTATTGAAGGCGGGAAGTGATGGCAAGTGTTTGGCCGACAACTGTGTTAACAGCAACTCTGCCAGCGATGAGTCCGCACAAGTCGTTAAGACCCTATCGGCTGAAATACCATTCAAACTGGTGATCCGCAGAGACGGTGAACGAGTGTTTATATGCAATACGTGTGACAATGAGTACGAGTTTGAGACACATCTGCATCAACACTGGGAACAAATGCACTTCCATTGCGATACAGACACCAATACTTGTGCACCGAATGTGAAAGACGTGTCCTTAAGGACCAATCCCTCGACCGAATCGGCCACCAAAAAGGTTGTCACCAAAAACGGCAAAAAAGTATTCATTTGCAAAATATGTGACATTGAGTTCATTTATGGACCAACTTTTGAAAAACATTGTCATAAAAATCACGGCCAGAAGGGCTTCCGATGCGACCAAAACGGGTGTCAATACGAGGGGCCGTCGAAAGAACATCTAAGAATGCATCTAAAGGGACACAAAACACGGGACAATCAGTCGTATGTGTGTCCGGCGGACGATTGCGGACAAGTGTTTATTACAAAACGCGAGTTGAGTGGACACCAGCTCTCTATCCACACCGTCTGTGAGTGCGAAGTCTGCGGCCAAGAGTTTGTCGGTCGAAAGGAGCGCACAATTCATCGGCGATCACAGCATACGAAATACAAATGCGATTTCACGGACTGTCCGTTCGTGACGTACAACAACACAGCGTTGACTGACCACAAGAACAGACACTTAAACGTACGAGAGTTCCGGTGCGAAGTCGGCGACTGTGGCAAGACTTTCATCACCATCTATGCGCTTAAGAGCCATTCAGTGGTGCACAGCTCCGAACGGCCCTTCGGCTGCGATTGGCCCGCTTGTGAGGCCACCTTTAAGAGCGCACCTCTACTGTCTGCACACCGACTCAACACTCATGAGAGTTCTGGTCGACAGTTCTGGTGTCCGACGAGCGAACTTTTCGGGAATTTTCTCAAAAATATGCTAAAATCGGGAATTTTCTCAAAATAGGCCAAAATCGGGAAAAATCGGGAAAATAAAACTTATATATTTTAAGTCTATTATAACCCCTAAATCTAATGGCATATAATTCCCGATGATTTGGTTAACTATTTTATTCGGGAATTCCCGGAAAATGGAATCTTTATGAATGACTGTTAACAGCGATATAGTCATTAATAACTTAAGTTATCAAAACATTTTGCCATATAACATTTTGTATATTGAACCACAGGAGTTAACAGAGTTATCCTTCAATTAATTATCACACAATAAATGACCATAAATTTAGAGCACTATTTCCATTGTACTCATTAATTTTTAATAATATTTCTAATAATTGTATGCATTTCTATCATTTGCGTTGATTTTACATATAAAGTATATATTTGATAAAGTATATACAGTGTTAGCCATCGGGGGTCTTAAGCTCCGCCCATAAATATAACCAATCACAGCAAAGTAGACTCGCGCTTTTGCATTGTGACACTCAAAGCGAACTCAAAACAGCGCATGTTTGAAGTTATATTTATGGGCGGAGCTTAAGACCCCCGATGGCTAGCACTGTACTTTAGTATATTTGATTGTTATAATTTATAACTTATAAATATAATACAAATTGCATTATACAATATAACTTATGTTGTTATAATATAACAAACATGGCCATTCCAAGAGATTACACCATTAAACTTATTATGCATTTAATTTTATTACCTGTAATAACAATTAATAAAATAATAAAAGTTAATTAATAAAAATGAGTTCTTTAAATAAAAGTTAAAGTTTTTTGCTATAAAACTACACGTTATTTATGAGTCATTTGTTGTGACAAAACATTGTTTACAAACACAACGAGTGATTGAGTTATGAATTGTGATTAAAATAATGAGTAAAACGAGTGAAGAGTTAATCCATGAAAACGAAAGACTATTAAATGAATTGAATTATAGCTTAAAATGCATTGAATTTCTCAATACTTATAGAAAATGTTTATTAGATTTGAATGAAAGCTGTGTTTGTAATCGCATTGGGAATCAGGTATTGGTTGACACACTTGAGGCCAAATACCAGTACATTGTCGTCGAGTCTAAGCCCAAGACATTAGTGGTCACCGAAAGCACAACACATGATGTGGTCATCAAATGTGAGCCCAAAGACACCAACGATGACAACAATGAGAGCCAACACAAGGACTCAATGTCTGACACGTTTGAGGAGACAATGGATGACAACTCGAGTGACACTCAACTCGAGAGTACGGAAGTGAAGACATCGTGTGATGGTATGTATGGTTTGGATGACAAGCAAATGGTAATCAATAATACAGAGCAAGTGTTTGAACCAGACTTTGAGGTGAAGAACAACAACACCAGCGGTAGTATTGCTTCCCGACTGAAGACACTACTAATGATAGACACCACCAAATGTGACACAAATGATGTAAACAATGGTAGCCATGAGTGGGACGACAACTACACGGAACACACCGTTGAAGACACTCTTGAGATGATTGACGACTACTCGAAAACGGGAAGCGATGGCAAGTGTTTGGCCGACAACTGTGTGAACAACTCTGCCAGCGATGAGTCCGCACGAGTTGTGAAGTTTGCTCCGATCCTACCGAAGACACTATCGGCTGAAATACCATTTAAAGTGGTCGTCGGCGGAGACAGTGGACGAGTGTTTGTATGCAATACGTGTGGCAATGAGTACGCGATTGAGACACAACTGCATCAACACTGGCAACGAAAGCACTTTCATTGCGATAACGACACCAATACTTGTAATCTGAATGTTAGAGACGGCTCCTCGTGGGTCAACCTCTCGACCGAAACGGCCCTCAAGAAGATGGTCATCAAAAACGACAAAAAAGTATTCATTTGCAAAATATGTGACATTGAGTTCAGTTATGAACCAATTCTTGACAGACATTGTTATAAAAATCACGGCCAGAAGGGCTTCCGATGCGACCAAAACGGCTGCCAATACGAGGGGCCGTCGAAAGTACATCTGAGAAGACATCTAAAGGGACACAAAACGAGAGACAATGTGTTATATGTCTGTCCGGTCGACGATTGCGTACAAGTGTTTACTACAAAACGCGAGTTGAGTGGACACCAGCTCTCTATCCATACCGTCTGTGAGTGCAAAGTCTGCGGCCAAGAGTTTGTCGGCCGAAAGGAGCGCACAATTCATCGGCGATCACAGCATATGAAATACAAATGCGATTTCACTGACTGTCTGTTCGTGACGGACGGCAACGCATCGATGACTGACCACCGGAAAAGACATCTCAACGTACGTGAGTTCCGGTGCGAAGTCGGCGACTGTGGCAAGACTTTCATCACCAGCCATGAGCTTAAGAGCCACTCATTGGTGCACAGCTCGAAGCGGCCGTTCGCCTGCGATTGGGCCGCGTGTGAGACCACTTTCAAGAGCGCAGCCCTACTGAACGCACACCGACTCACTCATGAGGGGAGTCGACAGTTCTGGTGTCCGACGAGCGGATGTGGTAAGAGTTTTGAGACCGAAAACGGTCTCCGAAAGCATCAACGGTCGCACAGCGTTGATAAGTATGTGGACAGTCGGCCGCCGACACAACGCAAAGCGAAATACATATGCAGTCATACGGGCTGTCAATACGAGACACACAAAAAGACGTGGTTTACTTTACATCAAAAAAGGCATCAAAACATACGTGAGTTTCAGTGCGAAGTCGGCGATTGTGACCAGAGTTTTATCGACAGTTATGCCCTAAAACGTCATTCACTGGTTCACAGCGATGTGCGGCCCTTCGCGTGCGATTGGCCCGCGTGTGAGGCCACGTTCAAGAGGACGCAATATTTAAACAATCATCGGCTCACTCACGAGGCTGTTCGGCAGTTCAAGTGTCCGCACACCGGATGTGATAAGAGTTTTGTGACCAGAGGTTGCCTATCGACTCATCGACGGTCTCATAGGAATGATAAGCCGTGCGCTTGTGTTTGGCCGGAATGTGGCCAACGGTTTGCCAGTAATCAGACGCTTAGGACACATGTGAACGAACACCAGGGCATCCGACCCTATAGTTGTCAATACAGCGGATGTGATCAGAGTTTTGCCGGTAAACCCCGTCTAAGACATCACATGATTGTGGTTCACAAACACTGCTTTTAATTGTCTACTAATTAATGTAAATAAATATAAAAACTCATTAATTGTATATAAATTTAATATAAATATATCAAACGTTGTCTTTAATGTGAATCTCATTTGATTGATGATTAAATAGTGGAAATGATTATATGATTTAATTAACAGTAATTTAATTATGTGTTCAGATGTGTTGTTTGTTGTATTGATTTTAAAATATAATATTTGATAAATTAATAACAATTGCTGGCACGAATGAACATATCGGGGTTTCAGGTTTGGGTAACCAGCATATATATTTTTATTATCGGCATATAAACTCACCAACAACCCTCTACCACATCCTTAACCTAACCTAACTTAACATAATATAACAAACTTAACTTAAGATAATATTTAATAAAAATATTTTATAATGGTTTTCTATGGGGGGTTCTTATCCCGATATTTCGAAAATTATTCGAGATAGAAAATTTTAGTTTTCATACTCGGATTCAGCGTTAAATTCTACATCGAAGTGATATATCACATTTATATATTTCATATTTTCGATGGGGGTGGGGGTAAAAAGGAGGCTCGGGAGGGGTGGGCCCAGAGGGCATTTTGTAGTGCTATTAGTGCTGATAATAAAAATATATGTGTTGGTCACTCAAACCTTAAACCCCGATAAGTTCATTCATGCCACAATTGCTTTAATATTATTAACACCAGTTATGCCGTTATACACTATATTAGCGATAGATTACACCATTAAACTAATTATGCATTCAATTTAATTACTGTAATCATAATTAATTAAATACTTCTTTGAATAAAAGTAAACGTTTTTTGCTATAAAACTACACGTTATTTATGAGTCATTTGTTGTGACAAAACATTGTTTACAAACACAACGAGTGATTGAGTTATGAATTGGTGTTTAAATTGTGATTAAAATCATGAGTAAAACGAGTGAAGAGTTAATCCATGAAAACAAACGACTTTTAAATGAATTGAATTATAGCTTAAAATGCATTGAATTTCTCGCAAATTATAGAAAATGTTTATTAGATTTGATTCAAAGCTGTGTTTGTAATCGCATTGGGAATCAGGTATTGGTTGACACACTTGAGGCCAAATACCAGTACATTGTCGTCGAGTCTAAGCCCAAGACAGCGGTTGTCGTCACCAAAACCACACCAACACTACTGGCCATCAAATGTGAGCCCAAAGACACCAACGATGACAACAATGAGAGCCAACACAAGGACTCAATGTCTGACGCGTTTGAGGAGACAATGGATGACAACTCGAGTGACACTCAACTCGAGAGTACGGAAGAGAAGACATCATTGAATGGTATGTATGGCATGAATGACAACCATATGATTATCAATAATAAGAGGAAGTGTTTGGACAGACTTTGAGGTGAAGAACAACAGTGCGAGCGATGGGTTCTCCAGAGGACTGAAGACACAAACAATGACCAAATGTGAGACAAATGATGTAAACAATTGTAGCCATAAGTCGGACGACAACTACTCTGAAGACACCGTTGAGGACACTCTTGAGATGATTGACGACTACATGAGTGACACTCAACTCAACACAGTATTGAAGGCGGGAAGTGATGGCAAGTGTTTGGCCGACAACTGTGTTAACAGCAACTCTGCCACCGATGAGTCGGCACAAGTCGTTAAGACACTATCGGCCGAAATACCATTCAAACTGGTCATCCGCAGAGACGGTGAACGAGTGTTTATATGCAATACGTGTGACAATGAGTACGAGTTTGAGACACAACTGCATCAACACTGGGAACAAATGCACTTCAATCGCGATAAAGACACCAATACTTGTGCACCGAATGTGAGAGACGTGTCCTTATCGGCCAATCGCGAGACCGAATCGGCCACCAAAAAGGTTGTCACCAAAAACGGCAAAAAAGTATTTATTTGTAAAATATGTGACATTGAGTTCATTTATGGACCAACTTTTGAAAAACATTGTTATAAAAATCACGGCCAGAAGGGCTTCCGATGCGATCGCAATGGGTGTCAATACGAGGGGCCGTCGAAATCACATCTGCAAATACATCTAAAGGGACACAAAACACGAGACAATCAGTCGTATGCGTGTCCGGCGGACGATTGCCGAGAAGTATTTACTACAAAACGCGAGTTGAGTGGACACCAGCTCTCTATCCATACCGTCTGTCAATGCGAAGTCTGCGGCCAAGAGTTTGTCGGCCGAAAGGAGCGCACAATTCATCGGCGATCACAGCATACGAAATACAAATGCGATTTCACGGACTGTCCGTTCGTGACGTACAACAACACAGTGTTGACTGACCACAGGAACAGACACTTAAACCTACGAGAGTTCCGGTGCGAAGTCGGCGACTGTGGCAAGACTTTCATCACCATCTATGCGCTTAAGAGCCATTCAGTGGTCCACAGTTCCGAACGGCCCTTCGGCTGCGATTGGCCCGCTTGTGAGGCCACCTTTAAGAGCGCACCTCTACTGTCTGCACACCGACTCAACACTCATGAGAGTTCTGGTCGACAGTTCTGGTGTCCGACGAGCGGATGTGGTATGAGTTTTGGGTCAGACAAAGGCCTCAGTCGGCATCAACTCGTGCACAGCGACCACAAGTTGGCGGTGAAAGTACAACACAAATGCGATCACACGGGCTGTCACTACGAGACACACAATAAGGCAAAGCTGTGCGAACACCGAAAAAGGCATCAAAACATACGGGAGTTCCGGTGCGAAGTCGGCGATTGTGGCCACAGTTTTGTCACCAGTTATGCATTGAAACGGCATTCACTGGTTCACAGCGATGTGCGGCCCTTCGCGTGCGATTGGCCCGCGTGTGAGGCCACTTACAAGACTGTCAACTGTTTGAACAATCATAGGCTCACTCACGAGGCTATTCGCCAATTCAAGTGTCCGCACACCGGATGTGATAAGAGTTTTGTGACCAGAGGTTGTCTATCGACTCACCGCCGATCGCATAGGAATGACAAGCCGTACGCTTGTGTTTGGCCGGAATGTGGCCAACGGTTTGCCAGTAATCAGGCGTTTAGAGCACATGTGAACGAACACCAGGGAATCCGACCCTATAGTTGTCAATACAGCGGATGTGATAAGAGTTTTGGCGGTAAACCCGGTTTCAGACAACACATGAAAGTGGTTCACAAACACTGCTTTTGATTGTCTACTAATAAATGTGAATAATTATATAAAAACTCATTAATTGTATAAATTTAATATAAAATATATCAAACTTTGTCTTTAATATGGATTTAAGTTTAATTATTTTTTTGAAATAATTATTGCTAATTGGCTTAAACTTAATTATAGATATATCTGTTAATTACTTATAATTTCATATTTAAATCAATAAAATAAGCTTAAAATTATAATTATTGTTTATTTATTTACTACATACACACAGAGACATAACTCAGTTCCTTTTTATTTGTTGAATTAAAACTCTCCTGATGGTTCAAACAACAAGGTGACTTCACAGAATTATTCTATGGATAATGTAGCATAATTCACTAATTGAGGCCATTTTTGTATCTATCATGGTTATTTTGTAAATTCAATTTTTTAAAAAGTTAGATTTCAAAAAATCTCAATAGAAAACAATAGGAAATTTTCAAAGGATTTTGTACTTTACGAATATGAAGATGACACTCATTATTAAAATGTCGGTATTCATTATAAACTTTATTATTTTGACTAATTTAGTCAAATGAAAGGACTATGACCAACATGGCATATTTTTCTTTCATTTGGAAAATTTACTAATAATAAAATATCATGATTATAATTATAATTACTTACTAGATTTATCAATTTGAGCATGTTCAGATACGCTAGTTAACAAAATTGACAATTTAGCACAATGGTGCCGTTTATTTATAAAGCTATTCATTTTTGGTTTTCATTTTTTGAAATCTAACTTTTTAAAAAATTGAATTTACAAAATAACCATGATAGATACAAAAATGGCCTCAATTAGTGAATTATGCTACATTATCCATAGAATAATTTTGTGAAGTCACCTTGTTGATTGAACCATCAGGAGAGTTTTTATTCAACAAATAAAAAGGAACTGAGTTATGTCTCTGTGTGTATCTAACTGTGCCGTTAAAATGTACAATAAGTTTACACATAAATGGAAAAATATAATCATACAGTATTTACAAACTATTTATTTAGTTAATAAAATTATAAGCAAAATACAGAATAAATATAATGTTTCATTTTATTATTAAACAGTAATTTAATTTTGTTGACAATTATTTGGACATTTCAATAATCTTCAAAAACAAGAGTCCAGTCATACTAATGATCTGTAATTAGAAATATTTTATTTAAATTAAAATATATAAATTTATACATTGAATTCAATACTCACTTCATATCCACGAAATCTATTGATTAGAAATAATTTCCAACAATAAAAGCCAACATTTTTCTCACCCAATCTCTCAATTACTGATAAAAACTATACAAATATTCAATTAATTTTTATAATTCAATTTAACATAAAAATTAATTTACTCTTACCTTAAACTTAATAAAAACCGATGGCTTATGTCTAACGAGATATGAATTGAAAGACTTGAATGAATTGATTGATTGGTTGTTAAGAATACACGAGTAGTGGACGACTGTTAACAACGATATAGTCATTGAAATACCGATTAAAGCGATTAATATTTTGGTAATGATTAGTATTTTTCCGTATATTGAAGCATAAGTTAACAGAGTTATCACTGAACTAATTAACACCCAATAAATACCCAAAAATTTACACCAATATTTCCCATTATATTCATTAATTTCTGATAATATTTCGTTAATTCCATGGATTTCTATTGTTTGCATTGATTTTATATTTATTTGATTATTACTATTATATAACAAACAAGTTATTGACCGAAGTTTGAGTGTTAAGTAATAGGAAGTTATGAAATAGTAGACGACCTGCCAGTAAATAATGGGGAATACATAATGACCAATAAATGCCCATAAAATACTATGCGGTAAACCAAATAAAATAAGCATGTTGAATGATAGCTTTAAAGCAAATACTTGAAACACAATCAAAAATACTAAATAAAATGTTGTGTTTGAAACAAATTCAGTTATTTTAATGGCTCGTCGGCTAAACCGCAACAACTTATAGACGAGTTGTTTGTCGTGAATACCAATACTTTTTGGTGATGTCAAACCTGAAAGCATACGAAATACCCTTAAATCGGGTTGTTTTACACCATTTGTATAATTATGATAATTAAGAATTTGTAATAAAAATGAGATCACTACTGCACATATAACTAAAAAACCACCTTGTTGTCTAATACCCATAAAATAAGTCACATCTCCCATATAAGCATAATAATCTCGGTTCTTTTCGGGTAATATAACACATATTGATTGCTTTATAATATAATACAACGATAGAGTGAATAAATAAATTGGTTTATTAAATATCATACGCTTTTCATTGGAAAACCTGTAAAACGATAGACCGATGCGATAGAGATGAGTGCCGGCTCTGGGAGTGACCAGTGATTGCGGCAATAATTCATTGATTTTAAAACTAATTTCTTTACTTAGGTTTTGAGACATTTTATCAAATGAAAGGAAATTTGTTATTATAATTTTTAAATGCAATTTTATGTTGATCTTTATAAATCTAACTATCTAGTTATTATTATTATTTTATTATATTAAAACTACAATGTCAATCCAAATGCATTAATATTTTATTATCGTAATTATCTCTTATTGTACTGCATATAATATATTATATTATTGGTTTATTAATGTTTACATCTATTATTAGATTAATATTAATTGAAATTTTTTTGTTAAACAAATATTTTATAAAATTATTTTTATATTAATTTTATCATTTGATACCATATAAAATTAATTGTGCATTAAATATTAATTGTTTACATAAAATTCGAAAATATAAAACTTAATTTTTAGCTTGTGTAATATTTATAAGTATTTCTAATATTTAAAATTATCACTTTATTGTACTATAATAAATCAAGTGTCTTATTATTAACAAGAGAAACTTATTAACAAATTACTATTATTAATAAGATTACATTGCAATAAACATGATATCAAATGAGATAATAAATAACCAAGATACTATGAGAAAAAGTTCTACTTTTTGTAATTTATGAACATTTAGCATAATTGTTTGAAGAATCGCATTAAGAATAATAGTATTAACATAAATAATGTATAATAAAAAGTTGTCACTTATTTTGTGCACTGGAGTACACTCTATGGCACACAATGTGTATGAACTGTACAGAAATTGGAGCGCTATATACAGCTATATATGTATAGTATTAGATACAGTATATGCACGATATATAGAGAATAATACACACTGTAAGTAACACCAGAAATGTATCTAGATTAATTAATTAATAAAGTGTAACAACATTGATTATTATTGTAATTTATGAGTTATAATTATAATATATCGCAGTTTAAGTGATAGTAAAATAAATAGTGGATAGTTTACATGGGCTCGACTGTAGTCTCCCAATACCTGTTGTAATAATAATAAACATGTGTTTTGTATACAAATTGAAAGCATAGGAGAAATGAGTGAATGTTTTAATACAAAACCGGTTTAGAAGTCATTCATTCGTTTCAATAAGTGTTTTGAAACAAAATTTTAAATTTAGGTTTTTATACAGTTTTGTGTTTGAAATGAAAACATCGAGACGTGTATTGAAAAATGTGTTTCACATTCAATATGTGTTTCACTTGTTTTCTACACTCATTTGAAAAGTTGTGCGAAAATTATTTTCTATTATAAAATGGGTTTTAATTTTTTAATTGACGTGAAATTTAATATTAATTTAAAATATTGTTAATTATGTAATAGTAATTAATTTTGCGAGTGTTTTATAAACATTACACGTGTTAACTATTTTTTAGGTAACTAATAATTAGTGCATTATTTCAGTTTAAAATGTTGTGTAAAAATTAAAAGTTATAATTTATATAATATTTTGTAACTGTTATAATAATAATAAATATTAATAATAAAACTAATAACAAGTGGTTTGAAAAAAACAAACCCCAAAAATAATCAGTGATTTTCTCGGTTGACATCAATTCAATGCAACAAATATTGACCCAAAAAACAACAGTAAAAACTTTTTGCAAAAACTTTTTAACGCAAAACTTATTTTCTTTTCGCCACAAGTTTTTCACTCAACGCTTTTGAATGCAAAAAAGTTTTGACATTTAGTTCGCAAACTCTTTGACCGCAAAACCAAAAACAAGACAAACATCTAATCACTGCCACCGCAGAGGAGGAGACAATGTCTGGTAATAAGACATCGAAAGACTTACTGATTGTACGGCTATTCAAAGACCGTGACATCACTTTCTCGACCATCGATGCGCTCCTGAAGTACGGCTTTGACACAAACGACGCGTTGCTTACCATCGATGTGGACATGGATTTGCCGCAAATGCACGACATTTGTCTCAGTCAACGATCGCTGCTCCGGAGGGCGCTCACCAAATACAGGCGGCAGTACTTCTCGCAGACATCGGATCCCAACATAGCGTCAGACGGGGACGAGAAGGACAACAAACAGCGGACACCATCTCCAGAGACCACCGATGATGACAACGAAAGCGAGTCCACTGTCAAGACGTTTAAGAGCCGATTGGGACACAATGTGGAGGAAGAGGTGGCAGAAGACGAAGAGGACGAGGAAGAAGAGGCCGACAGGAGTGACGGCAGTGTTGGCAGTGATGTGAATATCGACGCGATTGTGGATCAGCTGAGAGAAAGTCTTATACGTGTGGAGAAACAGAAACAGGAGAAAGACTTTCAGCTGAACCGCAAGTGTCTGGAGATAACCGTCAAAGACATGGAGATTAAGCGCTTGGAGTCGGAGTTGAAGCAAATGGAGCGCCAATTGATTTGCGAGAAACTGATGGTCGAGAAGTTGAACCATCGGCTCAACACCAGCGCCGGCACCGGCTGTCGGTGTCGACGGCTGGACAACCGGTTAGACAAATTGAAAACTATTTATTACAACTATAATCACAACAACAGCGCCGTCGCCGACGACGAGTCGCTCGACGGCGACCAACAGTCGGACGATTGCATACCATTTACGCCGTTGACGGACAATAGC